TGAAGAACACATTTTATTAAGTAAAATATATGTCTTTAATATTATACTTTGCAATGTACGTTTATTTAGCAATTTCCAAAAATACAGTTCGCCGTGGACCAACATTTTATTTACCCTTCTTTGGTATATAAGGGGAAAATTTCAAGAAAAAATTGGAGAAATTTTGAGAAAATGTTATAAATTGTTTCATTTCTGGGAAAAAGTACGCGAGAACAACTCATTTTTTCAAAACGTGCACATGGTCTTTCTTAAAGATTTACATTTTTAGGACAAATTATATTTCAGACAGAAATAACTATCTGCAATATTATACTTAAGCAATGTTAATTTCGCAAAATCGCAATTTTTGAAACAGGGATTTCAAATTACTCTTCGTTCTTTACGCTATTCGAGGACAGCGTTTAATAAAAAAAACTGGAGTCAAGTTTGAAAATGTTGAGGCTTCATGTAAAGTACCCTTCAGAATGAACTTATGTTTCAAACTCACAGGCCCTCGAGTTCGCTCAGGTCGATGGAGAAATATCAATTTTGGCGAAAATCATCTGAATGGTGTAGGCGCTATCAATGACCATAGGACACAGGAGATGCCATTAATCAATTGTTCGGTATGAAGAACGTACAAATCGTGGATGCTGATTACACAATGGGTTAGAGGAAGTAAGTTGCATGTAGGAACAAGATTTATTTGATTCCGCAATTCGAGTTTTTCTGTCAAAAAATCAGCGATTTCTGGCCACAACTTGGCAATACATCGTCTTTACTACCTAAGTGCGTAGTAAGCGGGAAATAAAAGCGATTAGAACAATGTAGGAAAGGCCAACAAAAGAGTGGGCGAACTATTACAAGATTCGAGTTTTTCCGTCGAAAAATCACCGAATTCTGGGGCAGCATTGCAATACTGTCTCTGCACTACCTAAGTGCGTGGGAGGCGAGAAATAAAAGCGATCGGAAGTGAACAATGTGGGCAGAAGCCAACAAAGGAGCAGGCGGAGTCCTGAATCGATGACAGCGCCCGCCGCGCCGCCTGGCGGTCGATGCGTGGGGCGGTGGCGACCGCCTCGCGCCGGTGCGCGACCGGCTGCGGCTGCTGGCCTCCGCCATCGGGGGGCGGGGCGGATGCGCGCATTGCCTGTCGCGGCCGCCTCGCAGCTCGTCCTCTCAGCGGCACCATGCCTCCGAGCGCGCCCTCAGGTGAGCAGTCTTCGAAACCATGGCTCTGGAACATTTCTCAGGTTTGGGAAGAGCTAGAAATAAGGGGGGGGGGGAGATAAATTAAAAAAAAAAATTGTCATGGTTTATTAAATTCTCAGAAAATGAAACGGCATTCAACAACAAGTTTTAGTCGTTTATTAGATTATTTTTGACGTTGTTTCTAAATGCTGTTGGTATTTTACTCGTATTAATCCAATACATCGATGATTAATTTTGATGTATCGGCAATTACTTTTAAAACTCTTTACGAAATTTATGAAGTATTTTGATTTGCATTTGCGATCCAAACACTTGAAAAAATTCATCAAGCCTCATCTTCCTAATTACCTTATATTCCTGTGTTAAATGCAATTATTAATTAGTTCATTTTATGGCCACCCAGACAGACCAGCGAATCTCAAACGTAGGAAGCTTGACAGTTGAAAATGTTTAAAATATCTCATGAACGGCAGCAGCAACAATATATAATGTGTCATTTTGCCAATATTTACTATTGATGATACAACCGAACATTCATACTGTTTACGATTACCGTATCGCATTTTCTATCCTACAAACAGTTCATTTATCATCTGAAAACTAAGACGATCTAACACAAAATTACTCAAAATCTATTAATGGTTTGAAACATGTATATTTAATAATTCAAACCTCTGATTTCGAGGACTTGTCCGTTATGAAAGACATATTCAATGTTGAAGATGTAGAAAAGTTTCGAAATATTTAAACTTTATTATCATTAAGGCTCTGATTTTGAAAACCTTAAAATCAGCAAAATATGCAGGTATCTGTGATCAAAAGCTTTTATTTCATTATAAAAATTAAAAATTACTTTTTTATAAGTTTATTTCAATGACTTCTTATTGATTTATTTTCTTGGCCATATACAAATACAAAATTCATTTTAAAACTGTTTGAGTTTAGCTCAGAATAGCAAAGGCGCTGCCTCTGCGGGGAAGTTCTTGGGGGTACAGTCTTGAAGGGAGTAAATTTTCGACACTATTTAGATCGAATTCATCCGCTGTCTGGAAAAATCTAGCGGATATCTGCTCTGATCGGTAATTTTTCATGGTTTCTCCGATCAACACTAGCTGACTGCTGGAGCAGTAGTACCACAACAGACGGACTGCGGACTGCGCCCAATCTTTCCTTCATCTTTCTTGATCTATCCTCACTTATACCCACTTTACATGCACTAGTCTACCACACATTCCGGGAAACCAATCGAGAACTTAGAGCTTCTCCCGGCTGGGGTGGTGGCCCTATGGTGGGAGATACCCGGTTGGAGAAAATTCCCTCAAGCCGATGCAGGCCGGCACCGGGACCTTGCCAGCCAGCGTGGCACACTTCACTGCCACCTCCCACGAGAAAAAATTCCCTGTGCATACGAGACCCATGACCTTAGCAGTTGACGCGCCCGGAATCTAATTAAAGAATCAATCAAACCAGCTTTGCATTCTTCACCATCACAAGCCAATCGGGAGCTTAGAGTTGATCCCTCATTAAAGAATCAATCAAACCAGCTCTGCATTCTTCACCAGCACACAAGCCAATCGGGAGCTTAGAGTTGGTCCCTCATTAAAGAATCAATCAAACCAGCTCTGCATTCTTCACCAGCACAAGTCGGTCAGGAGCATAGAGCTGGTCCCTGCACGAAAAAAAAGAACAGTTGCAGTATACCAGATCCGCGATACTGTAACAAGCTCCCTTGCTACACTATCATGGATTTGGTATACTGCAACTGTTTTTTTTCGTGTGGGGAGATCCCTGTAGAGGGAAATATGTCACAAGCCGCCGTGTAGGCCGACGCCAGTTCTTACCATCCAGTGAGTAGAAACACTGCCACATCCGTTATTTTTTTACTTGGAGGGGAGGATGGAACAAACAATTTGCATTTAATTTTGCCTTAGGAACGAAATAAAATGCAGCACCGTAACGGAAATGTTGAATTTTGCTTTTAGCGAATCCTCTATGCAAAAAGGATTGTTGTAAATCATTTCAGAATGGTCGTGAAGACCTTGAAGCGCTCAACCCGCGTAGCAACAAGGGATAAAAAGATCGAAAAAGTGATGGAATCGATTGTGGGCAATCGCCGAATCACAATTAGAGAAGTTGTTGATGATATTGGCATATCATTTGGATAGTTTCAAGTAATTTTTGCTAGTATTTTGGACATGAAACGTGTAACAGCGTAATTTGTTCCAATAATTGCTGAATTTTGAACAAAAGTAGGTATGTAGGAATGAACATTCCTCAGGAGATGCTGCATGAAATGAAGGATGATCCAGAACTGCTTAAACGTGTGATCTATAACACTCGACGAATTAATCATATTCGGTATCGACAGCTCACAACAAAAAGTTCACATGTTCAGGCTCTGCGGTCTGAAGAAAGCTCCACCTAAAATACTCGAGGCGGTCGCAACCCAATCGCTGATAGAAAAGTCTTCTGTGGCACCGGGAGTTTAGAGCTGGGGCGGTGCCTCCGTTGGAAGACACCTGGTTTGGGAAAACAACGCCAGCCGACGGGTAGGTCGGCGCCGTTTCTCGACATCCAGCGAGGGAAGATCACCGCCACATCCTATAATACAAAAACACGCACTACTTATACGTGACTAATGACTTTAGTAGTTGTCGCGTCCGGAAACACTACACCGAAAAAGAAAGAACCATTGGAGTATGCCAGAACCATGATACTGTAACAATGAAACTTGTTACGATATCATGGATCTGCCATACTCCAACGGTTCTTTTTTTTCGGTGTAGTCAATCAAATTCAGTATAAACAATAAAACGTAAAAAATATACTTCGGAAGAACTCACATTTGAAAGACGGATTTCTCTATACGATTTTCGTGCTTCTGAATTGTCAGAACTGGCGTCTACCTACACGACGGCTTGCGACATATTTCCCTCTACAGGGATCTCTCCCACACGGAAAAAAAGAATAGTTTCAGTATACAAAATCCATGATACTGTAACAAGGGAACTTTTTACGATATCATGGATCTGGTGTACTGTTCTTTTCTTTCCATGCAACGGGGCACTGCCCCGTCCGGGACCAGCTCTAAGCTCCCGATTGGCTTGTGTGCTGGTGAAGAATGCAGAGCCGGTTTGACTGATTCTAGAATGAGAGACTCCGTACGCGTCAACCGCTGTGACAAAGCGACGACCAGGGCGGGGCCGGCGGCGCTCTGTTGCAGAAGGCGTTCGGCGGGCGCGGCCGCTGGCCCGCGCGGCGCGGGGGGCGCGCGCCTACTGCGCCGTGTCGCCGCTGCACGGCTTCCGCTACCTCGCGCTGCCCCCGCGCCGGTGGCTCGAGAGGTTCGTAGCGCAACGATGAATTAATAAACAAACAGATATTCATTTTGACAAAGTCGAATGTTTTTCTTAATCATACACTGACTTCCATACAAATAATCTTCGATAATTATACCACAGTTCTTGAACTTGTTCACTTCATTATTGATTTTCACACTGCTTGTCTCATTTTTATTTTCACGAGGGTCCCTTTGCACTGCTACATTGTCTCTTGCACTTACTACTGCACTGCATTCATCGCTCAGACTTACACCGACTTACTGCGGCCGCTGGGGCCGGTCATTTATAACGGGCAGACGCCGTGCCCAGAAGCTTCCGCCAGTCGTCTGCGCAAAGGAAAACGCCATAAAAATTTTGAAAATTTACAATTATCAAAATTCCAGGCAGTACAGCATATGTGGGACAAGGGCCAATTCTTTAAGCGCCCTTTGCTGTCTCCTGAGAGCACTGTGGGGCTGTTTGTGCAGGACGGCGTGGGCGCTGGTGCTGGCGGTGGGAGCTGGCCTGGCTCTGTACCTGGTGTTGGTGGCGTGGGAGCGGTATGAGCGCTCGCCCATGTTGATCGCAGTGGAGACGTCGCAGTACCCCATTTGGAACACCCCGTTCCCTGCCGTCACCATCTGCTCCCTGAACAAGGTGGAGTTGTCCGCGGCGAGGAGGCTGGTGAGCACGTGGTGAGCTCGTGCAAAATCAATTTCGCAGAATCATTTCAAACGTCCCCCGGGGTAATACCAATGAACAGTTACACATAGATGAACATCATAATACCTATCTAGCTACCAATTTCTTCTCAAACATATCCTACATCCATTCGGTATTCATTAGTACAGTTAATTTAAACAAAGCTGTGTATTAGCCATACGTGTAATTAATTTTTAAAAAACTACTGGTGCTATAACAGTAAGCACTTTCTCGCTTGCAGGCAAAATCGCACTCGCTTGCTTTCGTACTTGCACGCAGAATCTTATTTCTAAAACTACACCTTTAAAACTGTACTTTTACGGAGCAGATTTCGTTAAAGAAAAAATGTCTATTTTCATACTTGTAGTTGTAGAAAGACGCCAACATTTTTTGAATTTTTGAAATTTTCGAAAAATTAGGGTTTTATATAAACATGACTCTTACACCATTCTCTTAAACGTGTTTCACACTATCCAACAATAAAATGTAAGAAATAACGATGGAGCTATTGTTTTTGCAAATGTCCCAGGGGTTTAATGTAAACTACCCTAGATAATGAAATATTGGTTTCAAATTCCTGAGGCCGCAACAACAGCCAAATCAATTGGGGAATATGAATTTGATGAAGGGATTTGCCGCTAGCGTTGCTCACGAACGGGCAGATGTTTTGCCGTCAATCGATTTTTCGGTGTCAAGGACCCAGAAACAATTTTTTCTAAATTTAGCAACTGGATTATCCACTATTTCATTAACAGGACCCTATAATAAGAGTACGGAGGTGGTGCGCTGTCGCAGGGTTGAGGGGCGTGGGCTTAGAAGGGTGGTGCGCTGACACAGGAGTCAGGTGCGGGGGCTGGTGGTGCGGTGGCGCAGGGGCGTGGGCGTGAGATGAGAAGGGTGTGCTGGCGCAGGGCTGAGGGGCGTGGGCGTGGACTGAGGAAGGTGGTACTTCAGTGGCGCAGGAGTGAGAGGCGTGGGCTGAGGAAGGTGGTGCCCTGGCGCAGATGTGAGGGGCGTGGGCTGAGGTGGGTGGTACGAGCGCGGAGGGGTGAGGGGCGTGGGTGTGGGCTTAGGAGGGTGGTGCGCTGACGCAGGAGTGAGGGGCGTAGGCTGATGAGAGTGGTGCGCCGGCTGAGGGGTGAGAGGCCGTGGCTGGGGAGGGTGGTGCGCGGCGGAGGGGTGAGGGGCGTGGGCGTGGGCTGGGGATGGTGGGTGCGCTGGGCGCAGGGGTGAGGGCGTGGGTGGAGGAGTGTGGCGCCGGCGCAGATGTGAGGGGCGTGGGCTGCGGGGCTGTTAAAGGTGGCGGATGGGGTGAGAGGCGTGGGCGGAGGAGAGTGGTGCGCCGGCGCAGATGTGAGGGGCGTGGGCTGAGGGGTGTAAAAAGGTGGCGGATGGGTGAGAGGCGTGGGCGGAGGAGGGTGGTGCCCTGGCGCAGATGTGAGGGGCGTGTGCTGAGGTGGGTGGTGCGCCGGCGCAGGGAGCTGCCGCCGGGGGCGACGCGGGCGCAAGTGCTGAGCGCGCTACGTCTAGTGCCGCTGCTGGGCGACGCGCCCTCCTCCGTGGCGCAGCTGCGCCCGCATCTGCCGCAGCTGCGCCGCCTGCAGGCCACGCTGCGCCGAAACAACGTCACGCCCGCGGACCTCGTCCACCAGGTAGGCGCCAAATGATTTGTTTGTACATATGTATGTGTATGCGCGCGCGCGCGCGTGTGTGTGCGCGCGTGTGTATGTGTGCGCGCGTGTGTGTGTGTGTGTGCGTGTGTGTGTGTGTGTGTGTGTGTGCGCGCGCGCGCGCGCGCGCGCACGAGCGCGTGCGCACGAGCGCGTTCGTGCCTGGAATTTCTAAAACGTGTTCAGTGAACATCCATTTTCCGTATACACTTCTCAGTCCATCTCAGCACATAAAGTGTTGTTTAAAAGTTGTAAGTCTCCAATGGCTTCGAATGTAATTTACATTTTTGGGTATTTTATGTAAACATTAACAATACGATTTTTTTTTCGAATGTCGGTATCCCGCACAACATGGCGGTAAGGCGGGTAGTATCGGAGCCCTCCAGGGGAAGGTCGGGAGCAAGGTGGGTTTGTTACAGCGAGGCGGGCGGAAACAGACCAGAGCAAATCAAGTCAGAGCAGGGCAAAGCAGAGCGGGTCACTAATCAAAAATTTTGAATAAATAACGATAAAATATTGAATTCAAATAATAGCATCATAATTTAATAACTACAGTAATTGGGGGTTTGCCCTGTTGTAATTAAGTAAATAAATAAATAACTCACTGTAAGCGCTAGCGCTGTTCACACACATTTCTCAATCGCTTACCTTTTAGCGATTTCTGTTTGGGAAATTTAAATGTTGACTCTGATTAAAAGCCATCACATGAACCCATTTCAGATACATAAATATTCCAACTATTGCATTGAAAATAAAATCATTTCGTAAGGATTGTCGTAAGTCGAGATTCAGCCTTACTTTGAGTACGTCACAACTTCTTTCACAAGATCATTCACCATTCTAGAATCCATCCGAAGACTACTAGCGAGTCTAAAGAAAAACGCAGCGCGCCAGGAAATTCTCTCCGCACTGACCTGAGTCAGCCTGCCGACCCTCCGTTTCCTCCCTCAGCTTTGCAGCCGTGCGGGGCGCTAGTGTCCCATGCCTCCCACCACCTCGCCCTCTTCCTTCCGTACTGCCTCTGTACCACCCATTGGATAGTCCCAGGGCTGCCTGGTTCTCCTAATACCAACATAATTTCCGTTGCTAGCACTCCTAGCCTAGGTAACGGATAAAACAGAATGAAAGCTACTGCCGCTCTTAGAGCCTCTTAATGAAAATGAATGTGAATGAGCGACGTGCAGCTGACAGCGAGTTCCAATCGCCTCCTCGCGCGCTGCCGGTTCACAGGTCGCGTGGTGCAGAGCTTGGTGTAGATTGGCGCAACGTGTTTACAAGCCTCTTCCCGAACAATGAGCACTTTACGCTTAGGAGTAACCCTTAATGATAACTGTCATTGTATGATTAATGATAAGAGAGTCCGTCAAATCCCGTCACACTCAGTTCTCAAGAGGACCGCCAGGTAGCACCTCAGCGTACGCGCGTCTTACAACACCCGCTCCTGCGACATTACACAGCGGCCACAATAGGGAAGGAATTAGGACAGGGGTAGGGTTTAGGACGCTTCACAGGGGTTGGACTAGCTCCTGAGAACTAGGCAAACTCGTTTTGTTGGAACAAATTTCACACGAGATTGCCCGGGAATAGAACCTGGAACAAACGACTTCGCACTGTGGTTCCAGCTTCTATGGCAGCGCTGCCTGTGTTACGTTCCTCCCAATGCAAGTGAACATGTATGTGCGTGCTGCAGCTGGCGCCGAGCTGCGACAACCTGCTGGCGCGCTGCCGCTTCAAGGGCCGAGTGGTGCCGTGCAAAGAGCTGTTCGCACCCCTGCATTGCCGAGACGGCATTTGCTGCGCCTTCAACTACTTCGGCCCTGGCGGGGGCCTTGATACTCTCCCCAGGTGAGGCCGACCTTTTCATAACGATGGTACGTCACATATTTCTCAAGACCTTTCACGATGCAAACGTAAACATAAGCATAACGTATAGACGTAAACATGAACATAAGTGATATACTGACATATTCACAATGTCTAACATAAACGTAAGCAAAATAAGAGTTTCTATTGGGTGTGAGACATTCTAATTTACTATTTGATGAATGTGAAAATCGATTTCGAGGTATCGATTATGTCCATGGCCCGTATGGTGTTAGTTCATGTTTCGACTTCACTCCTATTTCGATTCTCAATTTTGAGTTGACGTACTGTGATTTGTTAATTTCTTATGTATTACTTAAACATAATCACACAAGCTTGAAGCTTGCAAGTTTTTAAGTTATCATCTTCCGTGTTATGCTTATGCGAACGCATTGTGAATGACTCCACGTATGTACGAAGTCCTAACGTTTATTTTAACGCCATGCTAATGTTTATTTTTGCTTTATGAATGAGTCTTCACACTGGACTGTCTTATAACAAAGTGGTAATAAATATTTGCACATGGTTACAAACAAATTTTAGACTTTTCGTTTTAAATCGCAGAACATAATAACTTGAATTATTCCGAAAAACTTTGAACAAATGTAAATAGTTTAATACATTTTAACGTGTTTGACATTATAACGGTTTGTTGCATTGTAAGTTTTTTTATATACATTGTTGCATCTTCGTGGTCAATGCAAAGGTGACGCCTTAAACCCTCAGACTTCCTTCTCCGTGCGTCAGCAGGTAAACGTCAGGGTAATGTGAGAGGCGCAACATTTACTCAAACTGTGTTCCTTAAGTAGTGCGGGTCGACCTCTGGTCTAATATTTGAGTGAATCTATCAGATCACTGATTTTGATCACTAGTACAGAGATCATTTGATCACTGGTAAGATGCATTTATTGTGGATTCGGTTAAAGCACTTTCTGACTTCGTTAAGTAATTCATTCATGCTATGTGAGATTAATGGACAACTCTCATTTAAATTTAGTTCGTTTTTGCAGTTTCTCGATCATGAACTTATGCGCTAAAGGCACACTTACGCTCTTGCTAACGAGTCCATTCAGTAGTTCACTGATACTGTTTACTGAGATTTTTTAACTTGTATACTACGCACTCGAGCACTGATAGGCATTTAATTTTTAAGTACTTGGGCAACGTGTATACACATGCAATCATTCTCAAACAAAACGGTACAATCCTTCATCTCGGTATACATCCAGATTCATTGATTCAATACAACACCAATCTGATTATTTTCAATCTGAAGGATTCATAATTTTTTAAATTCCAAGTTATTTAAAAAAATAATATGTTCATTGTAATCTACGTAGTTTGGGGAATATTATTTATAATTCATTAGGGTAAATTTCAGTAAGATATCAGGTAGTAATTTGTTGAGAATCTATATTATTGTAAACATTGATATTGTTAGCCAATGTAATCTGTAATAGGTCTGTTTGTAGTTTGCGGAATACGTAATGCATGTTATTAGTAACGTAGTAAATTAGTACGTGGTGCAACTATTATTACTAAAACTCAAAAACAATGTTTGTTGACCTTGTGGATGCTGGTTAGAATTTATAAAATGTGTGCTTGCTAATACAAGACCCAGCTCCCTGAACATTATGGGAGAATAATGCAAACTGATTATTTCATTGTTAACTGTTACAAATCAATATTCTCAACAACTGCTAACGTTTTAGACGCTGATAGGTTAGATTTCCTCCAATCATTATTTCTAGCAAGATTTCTTAGCGTTCCACTGTTAGAGTGTTCTTCGTAAATTATAAGAGTATTGGCGCAGAAATAGCTCTCGATGGCTCGTTGGTTAGCGTGCTCGATTTCCACGGCGCGACCCTGGGTTCGATTCTCGCTCGAGTCAAAAAAATAATTGTGCGCTTTCCTTGCACTGTCCCAATATCTATTGCTGTGTGACGATGAAAAAGCTAACTTCTCAGTTATGCAAAGCTCACTCACAGCTATGTGCTAATCACACCCCTTAACCCATGGCCTCCAGGCCGGGTCGCTGCTGGTAAGCCTTAGGTCGTAAAGAGCTGTTGTGCCATAATACTTACATACATTGGCGCAGAGAATCGACGGCGGAGGCAGTCGCGTCACATCCAAGTGCAAGCCATTCCATCCTCGATAGCGCGCTACTCTCAATTACGTGTATTTAAATAAAATAATAAAATATATTTTTTAAATAAAATAATAATGTAATAAAAATAAATAATAATAATAATAATAATAATAAGCATAAAATATCGTATATACATAGTATTCAAAATTTTTTTAATACAGGTAATACACATACATGACGACATAAAAAAGTCAGTGTATACAATAGAATTTGTAGGTTTGAAAAAGTTTAGTTACACTTTTTCATATAATCTAGATTTACTTGACATAAAAACGTCAATTGAATATCATCCCCTTTTTGTAACGAAAATAAAATAAAGTACGTCAAGAAATGCGACGAAACCAAGATGGGGAAACAAAGCCATCGAAGGCAGCAACAGGACGGGAAAATTATTTTTTTTGTATTCCAGCATTATAAAAGAACCTTTTCTGAAAATCTGAAACCGTTCATAATCAGGCATTTTACGGCACAAATGATGACGTATTAGATTTTATGTCACGAATGATTGCGTCATCATACATTCAGCCAATCGTAGCGAGAAAATCGGGGAGAGGTAGATCTAAACGAAACAGCCGACCACCGTTTACATGCACGATGTCAAATACCCGAAATGTACAGGGAATATAGGGAAGTTGTTTCGCTAAATTAAGTTTGATTCCCTTATAAATGTATAATGCTTTTATACAAAAATATTGTATGCAACTCGTTTATAATGTTGCTTTATTTCATTCGTACAAATTTGAAAAGTCGCTCGTTTTCAGAACATGTACTCATGAAATAAAGCTTAACATTATAAACTGACTGCATAAACTACTATGCTGAGCGAGAAGTGCCCCATAATGATGCCACGGTCCGGTCGCTGTGAAGTATTACATTCCCCGGCCCTCGGAGGAAAGTGGCATGGTGACGTCAGCGCTCGCTCTCCTTCGGGCAGCGGCTGCGTGATGTAGCGTTGCAGCGGTTGGCCACGGGTGGTTGCAGGGCTCACGCCCCGGAGGAGCAGCCCGTGCGCACCAGCGCGTGCGGCTACTCCATGGGGCTGGAGGTCCTGCTGCGCGTGCGCGCCGACGAGTACTTCGCCACCTCCTTGGCCTCGCGCGGCTTTAAGGTGAGGCTGTGTTCTACCAGGAGGGTTGCTCCCCGGGGTGGGCACCTGAGCTTTCCGCCTTCATCCGCACTCCCCCCTCACCCCTCCGTAGTACTTCGCCACCTCCTTGGCCTCGTGCGGCTTCAAGGTGAGGCTGTGTTCTACCAGGAGGGTTGCTCCCCGGGGTGAGCACCTGAGCTTTCCGCCTCCATCCGCACTCCCCCCTCACCCCTCCGTAGTACTTCGCCACCTCCTTGGCCTCGCGCGGCTTCAAGGTGAGGATGTGTTCTACCAGGAGGGTTGCTCCCCGGGGTGGGCACCTGAGCTTTCCGCCTCCATCCGCACTCCCCCCTCACCCCTCCGTAGTACTACGCCACCTCCTTGGCCTCGCGCGGCTTCAAGGGAAGGCTGTGTTCTACCAGGAGGGTTGCTCCCCGGGCGGGCACCTGAGCTTTCCGCCTTCATCCACACCCCCTAACCCCCTCTACCGTGGAGCAAGTACATGACAGGCTGCTGTGTGGATCCTGCCCGAACGCCCCTCAGAATCCTCCCCAACTAAGCTTGCGTCGGGCCACTCTGCCACCTCAGAACTACCGGCTTTCAAGGTTAAAACCGACGATAAATTAAGCACCGCTCACAATGCGACAGGGCAACATCTTCTTGCCGAGAGAAAATTGGACCACTGCTTCGAAGTCAAGAGCCAACTAGGGGCCGCCCGGACTAAGACCTAGGAGGGTCGGTGCCCCCAAACCGTCCCCTCACTGCGTCCACCTTGACGCTATCGACGTGAGCCGACGTGATGCTCTGCGCCAAATAAGTCAGTAAATAACTGGTTTTGACGCTAATAAGTATCCTGGAAACAAAAATTTAAGGGGGGAATGAAGGGGATAGGAGCAGTATGCACATATTCTTGTGAACAATGACGGGGAGAACATCTTGACCTTCATTTCTCATACTTGCGTAAAACTGAGATTACGTTGCGATGCAGTGGCTGAGCATGACCCTGGGGCTCATTATTTATGTTTCTCTTACTCTACTATGATTTTTCGGGGAAACCGATTTTATCTGTCGTAGGCATACAGATTGTGTGGCAGTTCATTAGTGAGAACTCTCGAAACACGGTACACTAACAGTCATCAAAACATTGAGTCCAGAAGCCATGGAATATCCGAAACCTAGCCAAACTGACGGGAGTTCATGCTCCCCGTGTGGACTTTTAGATGTGGGTTTGAGATCCACCGCCAGCTTTCCAGAGGATGCCGACTAACGAATCTCACGCCTAATCCTTTCCGCCTTCATCCACACCCCCTAACCCCCTCTACCGTGGAGCAAGTACATGACAGGCTGCTGTTTGGATCCTGCCAGATTGCCTCTCGAAATCCTCTCCAACTAAGCTTACGTCAGGGCACCTTGCCAGCTCAGAACTATGGCTTTCCAGATTAAAACCGACGTTAAATTACGCGCCACTCACAATGCGCCAGGGCAAAATCCTGTTTGCCGAGAGAAAATTGGACCACTGCTTCGAAGCCAAGAGCAGACAAGGAGCCGCCCAGACGAAGACTCAAGAGGCTCGGTGCCCCCTAACCGTCCCCTCACTGCCTTCACCTTGAAGCTATCGACGAGAGTGTCGCCGGAACCTAGCCAAACTGACGGGACTTCATACTCCCCGTCTGCACTTTTATATGCGGGTTTGAGATCCGCCGCCAGCTGCCCAGAGGATACCGACTAAAGAATCTCACGCCTAATCCTTCCCAAAGGTCGGTGGCGAACCACCGACCACCTGCTTCCACCTTGAAGCTATCGACGTGGGTACCGGGACCAGGTGGATGTCATCGCTCGACCTAGAGTCTCAGATCTTCCGAACGTTTGCCCTCCGCGTTGGGGAAGGTGAAGCACCAACAGAATAGACGCTTAGTGTGAGCGGGCGCAGCCCTGGGTGATGGAGACTCTTCCCTCTGCCTGTGCAGCGTAGGAAGAGACTCGCGACCTTGAGTCGTACTCGCAAGTACAGAAATCCTGGTGGGGAACGGATATACACGCGCCTGGGTGCGCTGATAACTCTCGTAGTCAGCACTGAAGATAGAGCAATGACGAATTGGGCGCCACGTGGGCTCTTGGGAACGTGGTGACAACGTCGGATGCTTAAGGGATTTTGAGGGCAGACCTGACCCGGCACATTGTGAGTTCAGGTTAGATCGACTCCGATCTCAACTTGCAGAGTATGTACCCTCACAAACCGACCACGGTCCGCGCACGATCTTTCCTTCCTCTTCCTTGCCCTAACCTCACCCCCTTATACAAACTTACTCTACACTCTCACACAAGTCGGGAAACTGGTCGGGGCTTGGAGCTTGTCTCTGCTGGGGCGGTGCCCCGCTGGTGGGAGATACCTGGTTGAGGGAAACTCCGCCAGGGAACGGTAGGTCCACGCCATATGTTGCTGTATACGTAAGCTTCCGCGGCTCGAATCCATGAATTCTCGGCTATCCGGGAGACGCCAACGACGCGGCGTCTCCCGGATAGCCGAGAATTCGCCATATGTTGCTATCCAGCGGTGAAAGATCACCGCTACCCCCAAGGGAAAAACATGCACAACCCCCGAGGTAAAACATGCATTACACTGTGTGGTGAGGAACGGCCTCCGGCAGGTGCTGGTGCACGAGTCGTTCGACTTCCCCGGGGGCGCGACGCCGTCGTGGCTGCTGGCGCCGTCGCGCACGCTCTTCCTGTCGCTGGCGCCCAAGGTGATGGCGACGACGGCGCGCGCGCTGCGCCAGGGGCTGCGCACGCGCGGCTGCGTGGCCGCCGGCGAGCTGCGCCTGCCGCACCTGCGCGCCTACACCTACCACAACTGCGCCACCGAGTGCCGCCGCAACCGCTCGCTCGCCCTGTGCGGCTGCGCGCCCGCGCACTACCCGCGCACAGGTACTAAGTGTTTCTAAAGTACAAGTACGAGTACAACACAAAAAAGTGTACAAGTACTCTAGTTTCTAAAGCAAGTACGGGAATGTGCAGGTCCTTTCTTCGACCCTTTCTAGCCTGCAAGGTAATCGGAATTTGGAAAATGCTAAGTTCATTAGGAGAGAACCAATATTCTATAAAGCAAAGAACATCTGTTATTGAAATCGCTCTGTACAGCTGCCTCAAGAAATTCAGTTTTATTTCAAAGAGATTAAACATATTAGTGAAGTAGGTAAACCTTTTGCAAGTAGGTATGCAAGTAAGGGTGTTTTGCAGCTGCATTTGACGGCACGTGCTATATATTTACTCCAAGAGCGTGGCCGAAGGTTGTTACGTTCCGACAGTGACAGGTTGTGACAAAATTGTGCAGGTCCCTTCTTCGATCCTTCCTAGCCTGCAAGATAATTGGAATTTGGGAAAAGACTAAGTTCATTAGGAGATAGCCAATGTTCTATTAATCAAAGAACATCTGTGTTATTGAAATCGCTCTGTACAGCAGCCTCAAGAAATTCAGTTTTATTTGAAAGAAATTGAACATGTTGGTGCAGTAGGTAAACCTCTTGCAAGTACCTATATGGATGTTTTGCTGCTACATTAGACTGCACTTACTATGTATTTACTCCATTTATTACTCCGAGTGCATGTCCGAAGGTTGTTACGTACCGACAGTGACAGGTTGTGACGAAATTGGTGTTTCAGGTGGAGAATAATTGATACTGGGATTGAAAAAACGACAATAGGTTCAGAGGAGGGGGTGGGGAGTGAAGAAATTAAGGAAGGTGAAAGAGATTGGTTTCCGCAGGAGACGGGGTGGGAGTCGAGTTCATTACGTGTCGTAGGAGATCACTATCCAGTGTGTGTTTTACGGTACGTTTCATGAGAGACCATGCCGGTTGAAATGCTTTGGTGAGAGGAAAAGTAAAGTAACTAGATCAGTGTACGCGCTGATCGAGTAGCGTCAACGTCATCTTTACTGTCAACTTCCGCAGGCGAGGAATAGGAACGGCATTTAGCGCCAAAAGCTCTGGTACGAGTACATCATTTAGGTGCCAATAGTTTGCAACTGGGAAGAGAGTGTGCAAAACCGAAAAGATAGCCCAGACTTAAGAGAATAGGAAACTAGTACGTGACACTCTGTGCCATTATCAAGCACCACTTCTTCAAATGCCTTTTTTTCAGTAGTTTTAATTAACTTGTTACTTCTGTTCGCAGAAATCGAGCAAGTTTGCACATTCCGAGAAGTGTTCTGCTTAGCAAACCACTCAGGTGAGTCACTGCTTTTCAATTTTTTGGAAATTTGAGTACGAAGGTGTGATTATTCAGCATGCCACTAGCAAGTTACTAAAACTTTCATTTTACGTTCTCGTATACGAATGGGATAATATACGTACTAGGGCAATTCAATGTTTTTTGCAGTAATATTGGATGCATTTATCGGAAAGTGGGGATATGGAGTTTTTTGAGAGTGTTCTATTGATTTCTTTTGAGTCGTGGATAAATTTGAAGCTTTGGGGCCGAATGAGATGTCGCCAGAACGCTTTCTCTGAATGGCTCCAGAGGAGCTGGAGTCGCTGCGCGCTGGCGGCGACGGCTCGCGGCTTCCGTGCGGCTGCCAGCCCGAGTGCGAGCACGTGGCCTACGAAGCGGACGTGTCCGAGGGCGAGTTCTCTCGCCAGATGCCAATCAACAGCCCGGACTTCTTGTAAGTGTCATGCGTGTCGCGCTTTTCTCTTGCCTATGTCGAACGGGGACAAATGGTTTCTGTTTGTCGGCCGTATGTCGTTGGTACTACGTCACACCGAATTGACAGTATGCTTTACTAAAATCGGTACCCGAAAATATTTCGCTAATCCCCGAACCTTTTCAACGTCTCTTCAAGTGGCCGGACCACCATATTCTGCTTCCTAGCCTCTAAACAAAGCGGTAAACTACCATCTTCCCTTTTCACTATATCAAAATAATTTGTTTACGTATATTGTATATTATTATATTAATTATCGTATCTCATGCTTCTAATTAATTCTTTGAAAGCCACCGATACAGGATAATTCCTTTTGCCTAAAAAGCGTATGGTGCGTCAACTATATTCTAAATTGGTACCCCTTTGCCAGTTAATTATTATTCTCGAACACCTGTTTATTTTCTACCAATAATTGTTCCAAATCCTTCTTCTGTTCTACTATTAACATCTCAATTTTGCTCATGTAACACCTATTTTATTCTTCCTCTAATACTCTCGCACAACTGTCTATTTCTTCATCCTGCCCCATTTCCATCCTAACTCATTGATTTTCAATGGTGACGGTTCATTGTTTCAGATCGACGACAACCTAATTTTCAGTAAGAAAGGCCGCCTCCAGGATCATTAAATATAACAACTTCTTGACAACCAACGCCACAACCTCATATATTTCACTCCCGATGACATGTCCAGCGATACTTGCTTAGTGATAGGGCTGGACTTCTTGTGAGGTATCCCTATCATGTATCCCTGCTCATCGGTAACGACAGAATTGATTCGCGCGTTGCCATTCATTTCTTGTAATATTCTTCTGAAATAACAGACGTTGTGAATCCTGAATCCACCAACGCCTCACTTTCTACTCCCATACATGACTGTTATTGTGGGGGATTTCCTGTTTTAGCTTGTCTTATTTCGGTTTCATAGTCAATTGTACGAAATGCATAAATAGGAACATTTCTTCCTACAATATTCGTATCCGCAATGTGGTTACCCCTCAGAACGGACATCTCCCGTTTAGATGTTGAGTCGCCATCTTACGAGAACAAGGTTGAATATTTTTCTCCCCCTCTCCCCTCTTCGCGCTCGACGCCTCCGGGCCATTTCTTCCTTCCCGGACTTTTCCGACTTCCTGTTTTGATTTAGCTATTCTTCCCAGTCTTTCCTCTGCGCTCCTGCGTTACTCCTCCCCATCTCTTCTGCTACTCTTCGTATAGTGAAAGACATTCTCAAGCGTGAATAAAATGACTTATTTTACATTGTTGTTCCATGAATTGTTGTTAAATATTTCTGTAATCACTGATAGAATACTGAAACTGACATCTGCAGCACTTTGAGATAATGAAGAACTTGGGTGGCCTGTATTTGTTGCAGTGGGAGAGTGGATGACGCAGCTGATTTCAGTATGTTGCACGTGTACTTCGTGGACCTGATAGGAACCCTCTACCGCCGGGACATCTACTACACCTGGAAGCAACTGCTTGGTGAGCCTTGAAGACGATTTTAACTTTCTTGCTCTTATTTAGTAAGAAGAGAAGGTTATGTAGGTTCAGAGTTCACTATAATCGAATCTTCTTTTGCTTATATGTAAGCGAATCGGGACTAATGAATTAAGTTCACTATACTCATGAGTTCAATATATACGACGTCACTATAAAAGTTTGTTTCAGGTCACTATCAGTTTCAAAGAAAGTATTGAAAAGCGTTCGCTACTAGTTTAGACTTCTCATTTGAAATGTGTATAATTTTGTGTGTGTGTATATATATATATATATATATATATATAT